CTGGGTTCGCTCAGTGGCCTTCTCGCCAGATGGCCAACTGCTGGCGTCTGGCTCCAGTGATAAGACTATCAAGCTCTGGGATCCCAGCACGGGCGTCTTCAAGCACACCATAGGTGCTGATGGTGTTGTTACTAACATTGAATTCTCCTTTCGTTACCTTGTCACTAACCTGGGATCTTTTAATATCCAAGCCTGGCACGAAAGCTTCTTATCGGATACCTCTGAAACAAACATTGAGCTATCTTTGCAGGCAGGTCGTTGGGTTACTATTCAGGGTCAAAGAGAATTATGGCTCCCTCCAGACTATCAGCCCACTGCTTCAACAGTCAAAGACGGTGCTATAGCACTTGGGTGCAGAAACGGCAGAGTTTATATAATTAGATTTTCTAGGTAGCAAATTTACATCGCGATTATTCTACTACCAGGGCAGATAAGATATAGTGCTTAGTTCTCCCAAGCCCTCCTTCTGAGAAGAGATTTGAAAATATAAGAGAGTTGTAACCAATATTTTACATAAGATACAGATAGGAGTCCGGAGTACAGCTGGATGCAAAACCGGTGCAAATATTTACACACTTCAATACTTTCAGGTACCCTCAAATGAAACACGCTAAGCCGCTTTTGTAAAGGTTTCCGAAAGTACTTGTTACAAGTTTCCGTATTGCATGGTACTCGCTGTCCCATGACGCAAATATTTTACATTACCTGTATCTCCACGTACAAACGTAACGTATCTGGCAAGCCACGTGGATATATCCCCAGGAACCTACCAAGGATCCCTCCCGGAAGATCACGTCGATCATCCTCGTAGGGCAAAAAAAAGATGGCCCCCAACCTAGCTCCATCAACTCTGGAGTTTATCCGTGACATGATTTTGAGCAATGAACTTACTCACTCCCAGATTGCCAACGCCGCTGGCTGCCATCCAAGTACTATCACTAGGCATGTCACCAACATGAACCTTTTTGGGAGTGTCAAGGCACCCTCAAATAAGGGCGGACGTCCCCGGAAACTCACGCCAATTATGATTAAAGCCCTCTGTGATCACCTCCTCGAGAAACCCCATCTATATCTTGATGAGATGGCTATCTTCCTATGGGACGAGTTTCAGGTGCACGTAACCACATGCAGCATTGGTCGTGCTCTCAAGCGTGAAGGCTGGTCTAAAAAGGCTGCCAAATATAAAGCAAGAGAGCGAAATGCAGATCTACGTGACGCGTACTTCCATTTTATATCAGACTTTAGCTCATACCACCTTGTTTATGTGGATGAATCTGGGTGTGATAAGAGGGTAGGATTCAGAAGAACAGGCTGGTCTCCTCTTGGTATCGCACCAACTCAAGTGGCCAAATTTCATCGTGATTAGCGGTATCAGATCCTCCTAGCCTATGCGCAAGATGGGATCATCCTGTCCCGGGTTTTCCAAGGCTCCACTGACGGGTCTGTCTTCGAAGATTTTATTGAGGAGCTGCTTCATCATTGTGGAAGATGGCCGGAGCCAAAATCTGTTCTTGTTATGGATAATGCCTCCTTTCATCATTCTGAAAGATTAGAGCAAATGCGTGCACAGGCAGGGGTAAAGCTGGTATACTTGCCTCCGTATTCGCCTGATTTGAATCTGATTGAGGAGCTCTTCTCCGAACTGAAAGCATTTATAAGGCGGCATTGGCAAGTCTACGAAGATAACCCCGATCAGGGCTTTGATTCTTTTCTCAAATGGTGTATTGAAACTGTGGGGGCGAGGAAACAGAGCGCAAAAGGACATTTTCAGAATGCCGGTCTGACAGTCGAAGAGATGTAGTATGGTTTATGTGCCGTAGATCGGTACAGTGGCACCCAGCTTCACCTTCCATGTCCATTACATGCGAACTTGTTTCCAAACCCTTATGTGCCAAGACATATTATCCGTTTATGGTTAAGCCAAGGTACCATTTTCCGTTCAATACCGAATCTTATGGCAGTGGACGATGAAGTGTCTTAGTAAGATGGATTGTGACGTTGCTAAAATACACTTCCATAACTACCATGCTGTCACCAAACTTAGGTACCTTAAACTCAACCAAGTCTGAACACCGCAAAATGGCACTCCACCTTGAGTCTTGGCAGCATACAATAATCGTCCATATGATACGTAGCAAGACGAAACTAACTACATTGCAAACGGCCATGCGTGCAAAATATTATGAGCGTTCTATCACGAATATACGCAAGAGCATGCGGCAATTTGGCACAGCTTCATCATAACTATACGTATTAATTCGAAACTTGCAACTAAGTTTATCGGATCAGTCCAATAGCGGGAACCAACAGGTTTTCGGGAGTTAAAAATGCTGGAAGTTTTCGAAGAATCTAGTTGATAAAATAGGAACAAAAAAAAAAAAAAAAAAAATTTACCACTCCTCCCAGACCACGTTTTGGAAAGAGATCAGAAAATATAAGTGACGTAGTGCGCAGTCTGATTTCTGTACAGATCATAGAATACTGCATCAGAAATCTAGTCTTTCTAAGTAATCAGCGCCTTTCTCTAGTAGCAGCTGCACGACCTCCTTGTGGCCATGGCGAGAAGCAGCCTGGAGCGCATTGCCGTAATACCCGCCCTGCGCAT